GGAAAGAGTAAAGGAGGAGAGACAGCAGATCAGAAGCTTGTAAGGCCTTATGGGAGGAACCAAGGGCACTGAAATAGAAGGCAAGAGTGAGATGGCTGTAGAGAGGTGGAAGGGTTAGCAAGGGACCCGACCATGCAGAAGTTTTCTAAAAGACATCAGCTGGTCCTAAGGATGTAGCTGAGTAGTCGAGCGCTTGCCTAGCATGCACAAGGCTCTGGCTTCCATCCCAGCACTGAACCCTAAGCAAAACGAGACAAAGACAGAACACAACAAAGATGTGTGCAATCAACAGGGCTAGGAGGTTGATGGATGTAAAATCTGACTAGAACTGGGCGGGACAGTGGTCCCGTTTCCTGAGGTAGGCCACATCGAGGGAGGAGATCTGCAGAGGAAAGATGATTCAAGCTTTGTTGTTTGAGGCTCCTATGAAATATCCAGGTGACAATGTCCAGTGGGCAGGGCCATGGAGGTCGAGGTTGACGTTCAGAACAGCAGTGTAGGTCTGATGTACCTGGATCTGCCAGACCATGGTCATGAGCGGGAGAGCACAGCACGTGTGTACAGAGTAGGCTGAGGAATATGGGACAAAGCCCTGAGAATCTACACGATTATAAAGAAGAAACTGGCAAATAAGTGATCAGAAAAGCAGAAAACTTTCACAACAGTAAAAAGAAGAATGGTTTGAAAAAGAAGGTTAAACATTGCTAAGAAGCTTAGTAAGAACTACTAGTGATTTTATTTTTTTGGTGAAAGAATGAAGAATTCACATTAAAGTGGGTTGGAAAGTAGGAGGGAGGTGAGGAGTTTTAAGGCTGATGTAGGTGCTTAGATCTAGCTGGGAAGAGGCGGAAGCAGAAGGTCAGTCTACCGGGAGACGTGGGATCACGCTTTCTTTCTTTGGAAAGACGGAGGTGGTTTTATACATTGAGGCACTGGTGGAAGGGCCAGCAGAGGTCGGTGATGTGTGTGTGAAGGAACTGTTTGCACAAGGAGCCTGCACAGATGAAGGGATTAGCATCAGTGCTGAGGTCGCAGCAACAGGAATGAAGACTCAGAGGAGCACAGGTCCAGGTAGGCTTTCAGATATGGAACCAGAGAAGTTGATGGAGACAATTTCTGGTGGCCTCTGTTTCTCTGAAGGATGACAGACAGTGAGGGGAGGCAAGGGTTTTGCAGGTGTGAAGATGGAGAGCTGGAGTGCGAGCTGCCCAGGGAGACAGCCTGGTGCAGAAAGCTGGCCTGAGTTTGCAGCATGGGTGAATGATTTTTCTCCATGCAGGTTGCTTGGTTTGGGTACATGCTAAGTAGCAGGGGTATTGGGGAGGGGGATTCAGGAAATTGCCCTTTTTCTCCCCTTATCTTAAAAAAACAAAACAAAACAAACTCACTATGTAGCCCAGGCTGGCCTCCAACTCACAGAAATCCTCCTGCCTCAGCCTCCTGAGTGTTGAGATCATAGATCTGCACCATCACACTCAGGTTTTTAACCCTTGTCTTTTAACACAAACTGTAGGATCTTGTATTTTTTTCCAGAGTAATGAAAACTTCCTTACTACAGGCACTGAAGATAGCTACCACTTCTCTTAACTTTTGATGTTAGTTTTTTCCTACATAAGAAACTTTCAGTGTATTTGGCATGTTGTTTTTCCTTAGTGGAATTTCAACCTCATGATGGAACTTAGTGACCAATTTTTCCACTGCTGCGAAGAGTACTGTATCTTTACTTAGCTCCAAGTTTTTGATACAATTCCTAAAGCTTTCTCTTTTCTAAATGAGATTCTCCAGACTGCTGCTTCTGTTTTACTTTCCATCTTTCATATATACAGAATATGAAAGGTGACTGGGTCGCTGTAAGGAGCTGATCCAGATACAACCTAATGTATAAAACCAAACCAGTTATTACACAGGTCCTGCCGCCTTGCCGTTAGAGATAATTTCTCATTATTGTGATAAAGTGGAATATATGAAATTTAGAAAGCAAAGAAAGATTACATTTAAAATGTTTAAAGGACTGGGGATTTAGCTCAGCACACCTGCCTCGAAAGCTCAAGGTCCTGAGTTCAATCCCCAGCACTGGAGTGGCGGGGGGAGAAGACGTTCAAGGAGTTCTTGCCATCAATTTTGGGGAAGGAAAAAGGAATAGGCAGAAAGAGTATGAGCAGAGGAGATGGAGGCCAGGTGACTGAGCTTCTCTTAGTTTATTTATAAACTAGGGTTAATAATTCCTGGAAAAACATGAGAATTAAATAATACTATATATATATAATATACAATATATATTTATAAAATAATTTTTTTGGGTGTACTGGGGATTGAACTTGGGTCCTTGCACTTGCGAGGCAGACAGTGGCACCACTGAGCTAAAGCCCCAGCCCCACAATACATATACATTAATAAAATGTTTTCAATGAGGTACTTTCCATATATAGCAATATGAGTGATGTATTTGTATGTGTCATGTTCCCTGCATATTTTACAGTAATACAAAGGTTAGTTGTTCCTACTTATCATCCTTCCATAAGCTGCTCTTTTGTACCTAAGAGTATTTATCAAGCAACTTTTTACATAGCTGTTTAGTTGCATGGCAATATAAAACTTTTCAAATTTTCTGTTAGTTTTAAAATGGAACTGGGTGGAAGAACAGTAGGGAAAGGAGACTTATTTTAGGTTCCATCATATGGTTTACATGTGATATTTGTCATAGTGTCTTAGACTCTCTTCATGTTTTTTAGATAAAAGGAAGGCCTACTGGAAGATGATTATATAATTTTTCAGATGAGGTCCTGAATCTCAAACTGGTCTGAAGTTGAATTTATAACTGACAGAGCTTGGGTTTGATTAAAACATTCATTGCTTTTTCTAACACCACACGATGTGAATTTTTGTAATTATTTTCTGTTCTATTTTAAGTGATGAAAGAAAAAAATGCATTTTCATATAATAACCACTTGACTGAGAAATTCTATTCTGCCATCTCAGTGGAATGCTTATTAAAACATGGTTGACATGGATATAGTGCTGGGCATGGTGGTGCATGCCTGTAATCCCAGCACTCTGGGATGCCAAGGCAGGAGGATCACAAATTTAAGCCTAGTCTGAGCAATTTAGTGAGATCCTGTCTAAATACAAACAAACAAACAAACAAACAAAAAATGGGCTAGGGGCCTGGGGATATAGTTCAATTCAAAGGATTCTCAACATAGGGAAAAAAGTATATATCACAGAAATATAATCCACTTAAAATTCTTAAATTGTTCCAATTTAGTTAGGACCAGTGCTTATAAACTACAACAGATACCTAGTCAAAGGGTAGAAATATTTGTGGCTTAGAGTAATAAATACATACATACATACATACACATAAACTCTTTACCACCATCTACAGCTGGGTTAACACATGGTAACCTTTCTGTTTCATAGTAAGACCCAAGTGGACAAAAGTGAAAATATACAACAAGCTATCTGAAAGCAGGGTAGTTCTGTCTGAAAATTGCTTAGCTCAATTTTTGAGTAAGTTGCTTTTTTCTTGAATATTTGGAAGCTGAATTTTACATAGTTATCATCTCGACTCTAAGAAGGAAGCATGATTCTGGCAAGAGATATTTTTTCCTATTTTGCATCAGATAATACTAAAGGCGTATGATCAACTACATGTACAATTTGCAGGCAATTATAGTATTTAGTGAAAAACTACAATTCAACTTTTCAATTCTGTCATTTATAATGCTAATATTTACAATTACTGCATATTCTAGAATACTAACCAGTGGCATACTCTAATCATGCTATCTATTTGGAAAAAAAGGAGACCTAAGATTGTCTTTTTTTAAAAGATTTTATTACATACTAGTTTATTCATGGGATAACCTTAAGGTTTTAGGAAAGATTGCTCTCGTATTGACTCTCAAATGGGAAACAGTCTGACATTTAAGCAAACATACTTTGTATTATTAGACTTTTCTCAGAGATTTTGACTTTCATAGTCTAGACCAGCTGCCTGTGTCAACAGTCATTGAAATAATATTGCTTTATCTCTATCCATACAGTGGCTTAGCAGCAACCTGTGTTGTCCTGTTGCTATCCCTCATATTTCACTCTATGGCTGCGTGCTAGTTCCTAAATCTTTTTCTTGGCCCTACCTTCCAGGAGACGTATTATCTAAAACATGCTTAAGTGGAAAATTTTTTGCAGCTTTCACTATGACTTTTAGTTTCAACTCCTATTCACTCAAGCCTGCTATGTAATCTGTACTTATTTACACTTGCTGTGTTTTCCCCTTCTTGGCTAACAGGAACCCGTTACTGCCTCCCTGTCACTCAGTGGTGAGGTTATTTTGGGCTTTGAGGGCCGGGGGTAGGGCCAGGCTGGGGAGGGAGCTAAAATAAGTCTTATGGCTGAAGCTAACTTTTCAAGTCTCATATACATTGTAATCTAATTCTCTAATTCTCATTAGGAACAGAATTTATGTGGATACTCAATTTATTATCTAATTATTTGAAATAACTGAGAAACACATCTGTGGTTTCAGAGTGATAGTGTTTCTTTTTATGCTTGGTTCCACATTTAAAAAATTACAGAGTCTGCATTTTGAATTGAGCAAAAGGGTAGAGAAGGATCATTTTTCTTCCTTTATATTAAAAAAATGTGTATGGCAAATAGACAAGGAAAAGAAAAGCTGTTATCAATCTACAGTTACAAGATGACCACTCACTGAGCCAAGAAGTCAGTGCAGCCATTGTTTTAATGAAGTAACCCAAGATGTCCCCCTTTCCAAGCATCCCAGACATCAGATGGAGGGAGATGGGCTAATGTCATCTTTCTCAAATATCTGCAAAGATTCTGACAGTGGGAAAGGATTTTCATGGTGAATAGAAGAAACATTACAGAAGGGAATGACTGGTTCTTATAATATTTAGGTTTTTTTTTTTGAGACAGGATCTTTCTGTGTGGTTCAGGCTGGCCTTGAACTTATGTAGCCCAGGCTGGCCTCCAACTGGAGGTGATCTTCCTGCCTCAGCCTCCTGAAAGCTCAAATTACATGTGCATACCACCATGCCCGGCCTAATATTTAGGTTTTAAATGAAGTTAGGCTTTGATCAGCTTCCAGCCAGTTGATCTATTTAATTATGAAAGCCATGCAACAAGTTTTTGGTTTTCCTATAGTTTTCGTCCTTACATTCCTTTAGATTTCATGTAGTCTTTGTTTTAGAGATCACTGCCTTGCCTTTGGGATAAGCCAATAAGGAAAAGAGAGAAGAAAAGGGAATTAACTTTATATCAATATGGGTCTTCCTTGAAATATATATGTAATAAATGTTAACATAAGTTAAAAATTTGGTCCATAACTTGAAGACATTTTCACAGAACATATTGCTCTCAGGTCCTTTAAAAAAATAGTGAGCTTTTCCCTACTAGACATCTTTCCTCAGGCACTGAAACTGCAGCCATCCAATAAATAAGGAAGAGCAGAAAGAGGGAGGTTTAAAAGTCACAAATATTCTCCAGTAGCTAATTCTTCGCAAGTCTAGCAATGAGATTTTTCCATTCTGCCCTCTTCTTCGTGATGTATGTGGGGGTGAGCAGCTGCAGCAGGGAGTCTGGCTGTTGCCTAAAGAAGTTCTGACACAGGGCCTCAGTGTTACAGATCACGTACATCCCACAGTCATAGCTGTTTTGTTGAGCAGGGGCTTTCTCTTCCACAAAGACGAGTTTGTCTCCTTTCCTACCTAAAAATGCTTCTAGTTTCTCTGCTACCTGCTTTGCATGGATGGAGTTGCTTTTGCTATGGGAATCATAATGAAAAAAGCTGTTTTTATCTTGGAGATAAACCAACAAACTCCAGTGGGTTCCCCCAGCTGCCTGGTTGGAGTTATCATTGATGGCTAAAAACACAACTCTCTTGTGGGGAAGATCCAGGGGTTCAAGGAACATGGCGATTTCTGCTGGGCTATTAGTGCACTTGATGAACTGGGTGACTTCGGGGCTGATGAAGCAGACAAAGTCAGAGCAGTCACGAAACTGACTGTTGGCAAAATACTCAAAGGCAAATCCAATAATATGGTCATTGAGCCAGCTTGGCGGGTCCAGTAGTGAGACGTCTGATTGCCGCAGAAGACTGTCCATGTAACTCAGGACTACAGGGTCCATCTTGCACTGACCAGGGCCGCTCAGAAGTTCCTGAAACTGAAAGAGAGGCAGAAGATAGTGTCTACTGTTGAGTATGATAGCAGGCTGTAAAATGGTAGCTATTTGTACAGGGTTGTGTAAAGATTAAATATATTTATAGTTTAGCAATAATACGTACCTGGCTATGACTAAACATACAAGAAACTAGCATATGTTCTATATATGAACAATCATTTAGAATGAAAACCTTGAATATTTTCTATGCAGATCCAAAGTATGGAATTTTAATTTTCTATTTAAATGCAGAGACAAAATCATAGCTAATGTTTTACCATGTACCATAACTGGAACCATATGTTGGCTTTTTAATGAATATGGCTAACAATAGCAAATTATTTTTGTGTTAAAGATGAATTTAAAGGATCTGAAGAAAAAGTTACTAATTACCAAGGGAAATAGTTTCCATTTTAACACTAATTTTAAGAGATTTGCTCCCTCCTTCCATAATGGAAAGTAACAGTGATTCGAATTGTAGTTAAAAATGGCCTGGGTATTTAGCTCAGTGGTGCCAGCACCTGCCTCACAAGCACAAGGTCCTGAGCTGGATCCCTGGTACCAAACAAACAAACAAACAAAGAAAAAGAATTGCACTTAAAAGGAACTCTAATTTCAAGAACAAAAAATCATGAGAGTAATATAAATGAAATTTATTCCTGATTCTGATTAGCATAAGTGATATATAACATGTCTGCTAATTTCTCACCTTTTACCTCAAGGGGTGGGATGAAGACTATGAAATTAGCAAGTCTTTTGATTCTCTCTGCTTTTCCCTCCTCTCCCCTCCTTCCTTCCTTTATTGTAGCACTAGGGATTGAATCCAGGGATCCCTGAGCTTCATCCCCAGCCCTCTTTATTTTTTATTTAGCCATGTCTTGCAAAATTGCCTATGCTGGCCTTGAAGTTGTAATCCTCCTCCCTCAAGCCTCACAGATAACTGGGATTATAGGGTTACAACATCATGCCTGGCTCTTGTGACTTTTTGAAGGGCTGTGTGGCCCAGGAATCAGGAGGGTCTAGCCCTAGTTTACCACTGATACGCTAGTTACATTTTGAACAGCCAATTAAGTGTTTTTGTCATCTTCATAAAGAACATCTACTTGCCTTCCATATCTAAGAGAGTTGTAGAGAAGGTCAAATAATTTTACTTGAAGATACTAGAAAATTAAAAAAAAAAAAAAGTTGTCCAAGGGCTCAGCGGTGCTGCCACCTGCCTTGCAAATGCAAGGTACAGAGTTCAATACCCAGAAGTTGTTCAAATAATATTTTTGTTAGCCTTTGGATGATATTAGTAAGATAATCACAAAATACAGACAGAACACCAAATCATTCAAAGCAAATAGTGTTTGGGAACAAATATCCATTCAAATGATCTTGTCCAAATAGCAGAATGACTAGTTTAGAACAGAAGCAAGACAAGGTTTCTGATGGGATTAATATGCTCGTGATCATCCAAGGCACAATGGTAACAAAGAGAAGAAATCTAATTGGTATAGAAGATGATATAATATTTGAGCCTACAGACTCAACAGAGTTAACAGTTAACTGCTATACCCTGACCTGGCAGCATACTATTTCTAAAATTCACAATAAATTCTAAAATTCAGCAATAAATGGTTACGCACAGTTTGGGAGTATAAAACAAAGCACAGTGCTGGGTGTGGTGGCACATGTCTATAATTCTAGAACTGGGGAGGCTGAGGTAGGAGGACTGCAAATTCAATCCTAGCCTGGGCAATTTAGAACCTGACTGAAAAAATAAAGGGAAATGGTGTTGGGGGGGATGCCAGAGATTAGGCTTAGTGCAAATGCCTTGTGTTCATTCTCCAGGGTCACCAAAACAAGTAAACAAATAAGCCAACCAATGCATGTTGTAAGAAAATAGTGGGCCAGGGATTTAGCTCAGTGGTTCTGCTGTCGGCCTTGCAAGCGCAAGGACCCAAGTTCAATCCCCAGTACCAAAAACAGAAAAAGAAGATAGGGCTAGAGTTATGATATCAGTTTAATTAATTCTGGCCATTAGACCAGTTGTTTTAGCATTTGATTATACATTAAAAGAATATAATTTTGTGATATAACTATTTTTATGTAATCTAAACCCCACAAAAACCTATACAAAAAAATAAATATACCCTTCAAGGAAAAAGCTTAAGTAAATGAAGCAACAGAGATATCCAGGATGGTCTTGTTCTTTTTTTCTTTGGTACTAGGGATCGAACTCAGGTCTTGCGCTTGCAAGGCAGGTGGCAGAACCATTAAGCTAAATCCCCAGTCCCCAGGATGGTTTTATGTACACTGAATATATCATAATCTGAACTACTTCAGAAATATATAAGGTTGCTTATAAAATACATAAACAAGATGGCATTCACTGAAGTTTTCTGAAGAAGACAGAATAACTAGAGCAGAGACCTAAACTAGAGCCAGGAATGAAGTTAACGAGGCATAGAGCACATTTGTTATGGGTGAGCCACAAGTTTGGCTCTAAGCTTTTGGCAGGTAACCAGAGAGAGTTAAGTTAAACATTCACAATGTCCAAAAGGTAGAAACAAAGTTGCTGCTCAGGAGAAGTAAAAGCATTCCTTGTATTAGGGTCAGATAGTTCCTTCCCCCTGGAGAAATGTTTGTGAGAGACAAAATGGTGTACCATAACAAGTATGTCCCACAATATCCGTAGGACAGATTGAATCGCTTGATAGGAGTCTTTCTTCTAATGCTCCTGAATATCCTGCCTAATGGCCAGGGGACAAACGGCAGTCTAGTGGGAGGACTGCTGGAGACTAGATACTCGGCTTGCTCATCTGACTGGCCAGGAAGAAGTGAACACAGCAGGGATGATGACACGAGTGTCAAGTGAGGCACTGGACGAGCACCCACCCAGGCCTTCAGTGAATACAGGGTAGTGGTGAGTGCCAGATGGAACAGCTTGGCAAAGCCCTAGGGACCTGAGAGCGCCAGCTGAAATCAGATCCACACTTTAACAGCCAGGGAAGGACAGGTGCCTACAAGGAAGAGTGCCTGCAGAGCCTCTCACCTCGGTGGGATTGTCCACAGGCAGGGCCAGTATTTTCTTTGGAAAGTTTCTGTGGGTTGGGATTGAATGTAGCTCAGTGCGGCACTTGCTAGTGTGTGGAAGGCCTTGGGATCAATCCCTGGAACTGCCAAAAAATATTTCTTTGTATTTTTTCTGAGTTTTAAAATATTTAGCATGTAGACAAAGGATTAAACCTTTAATTTTATTTCATATAGTGTGACTATAATAGATTAACCCACAAAATTCTAACACAAACAAAAAGAACTTAATTAACCTTTGGCCAAACCACCTCGGCCAAGAAAAAGAACTCTAAGCAATTTTTTTTTTTTTTTTTTTTT